GGGGTTAGTGGATTTTGACTTATTGACGTAGGATTGACAGCATCGAGATTTGAAGGATGTTCCAATAGCATTTCTTCTATACTTACTGTAAATTAATTGTGGGCATTGCTATTTGTGTGTGAGTGATATTCAATTATCAGCATGGCCATTTATGTCTATGCAGAAGGGAGACCAGAAATTGTATGCCTCATGTTAACTTCTATGCTTATAACATGTTTAAGCTTTTATTATAATCATTCTTTCTCGTGGTTATCAAAAAATTACCTGCAGGTGCAAACTGGTGTTCAGTTTATAAAGGATAAACAGGAAATTGTAGAAGCTGAACTGCAGATTGCTAAGCTGCAAGTTTCGAAGGTTGAACAGCATGTTGAAAACCACGACACTTCAGGCACTGATTCTACCCAGCTTGGAGCATCTGCTCATCGTCAATCTCACCAGCAGCTTTCTGCAGTTCCTCTTACGCAGCCACCTCCCACCTCCTCTCTACCAAATGCTTCTCCTCCACTGCCTCAACATCAGAATATACCGCCTCAAGTTCAGCTTCCCAACCAGTATTCTCAAAATCAAGTTCCTTCTGTCGCTCAGCGGGAGTCTTACTTCACCCCACCTGGCCAGACTCCAGAAAATCCAAGCCAGCAGTACCAAACACCTCCAGTGCAGCCACAGCAGATCGCCCCTCCATCACCGCCCCTACAGCAACAATATCAGTCACCTCCTCAGCAACACTACTCTCAGTCACCCCCACCTCCTCAGCAACACTATTCTCATCAACCCCGACCTCCTCAACAGCAGTACTCTCAGCAATCTCCACCTCCTCAACCACACTCCACAATTCCTACTGTGAACACCTCTCAACCTCAGCTGCCATTGGGTCGTCATCCTGAAGAAACACCTTATATGCAGCCACCCCCACAGAGCATTCGCCCACCTGGACCACCTCCCCCTCATCCCTCCAGTGTAACTCCTTCACAACAGTTTTATGGACATCCACCCAATACATACGAGCCTCCATCTAGCAGACCAAATTCTGTATATTCTGGTTCTTATGATCCGTCATCTGGTCCAGGGGAACCTTATTATAGTGGTTCACCATCACAGTATGGCAGTGGCTCCCCTGTGAAACCACAGCATCACTCTTCTTCTATGTTTGGCCAGAGTGGTGGAATTGGATATCCCCAGCTGCCTACTGCTCGAATATTACCTCAAACGCTGCCTACAGCCTCTGGAGTCGGTGGTGGGTCCGATTCTACTGGTAATGGAAAGAGGGTTCCTGTTGACGACGTGGTTGACAGAGTGACAAGTATGGGATTTCCAAGAGACCAAGTGAGGGCAACAGTCCGAAAGTTGACAGAGAGTGGACAATCTGTTGACTTGAATATAGTGTTGGACAAGTTGATGAACGATGGAGATGGCCAAGGTCCACGAGGTTGGTTTGGTCGGTGACAGGTTTGTTATGCACTAATTGTTTGTGAATCAACTTTGCTATTCGAGCATTATTTGAGATTTCCCTGTAACTGTCTGTTTTCACATTCCCATTTTTTTTTATTGCTTAAATATTACTTCACGGGTCTGTTGTTTATACCCCGTTGGTTCCTTCTGTAGCTAAACCTTACAATGCTTTTGGAGTGAATGTACTTTATTACCCATTTCCTGTTGTCAAACCTTACAATAGTTGGCCTTCTATGCATGTAGAAGCTCTTCTAATAAACTACCTTTTCTACATGTCCAGATGTGGTAATTTAATGCCTGCATTGCCGATAATGGTTTAGTTTATAAACAAAATCTCGAGACAAATATTATGTTGGGACATGTGTGGATTATTCTTTACAGCCCATTGATTTGTAAGATATAAATTTGTCTAGGATCACGGGTCACTACTTGCAAGTGTGGGCATGGTTCCGTTTGATAATAATGTGCTGATGTCAACAATTAGGACTATGCCGATGTCAACATTTCGAGTTCGCTTATCTTCAGATATCGTGAATGTTGTCAATTCAGTTATATGACAGGGTAAGAAAGAATGTATTCAAAACAGTCCATTGCATTGCTTAATGAAGGAAGAATTTTGGAAAAACACTAGCACTTTTTGGACGGTTGGCAATTATGAATAATGCACCTACCATAAAAGAAAAATAAAAATACAATTTGGAATTAAGGATAATAAAAATAACTAGAGTGTTAAATCATTAATTAGATGAACTCATGTCCAAGTCAACGTATCTTGTCATGTGTTGACTTAAAATATTATGAGATCTTTCAATTAACAAAAATATATGTTTATTTGTTAAAACAAAACTCGATTAGTAAGACCCTGTCACCTTAGGGGAGGGCCACTGGTTGCACTCCAATTACCAAAGTTAGAAAGATAGAAACAAAAAAAGGTAAAGAATAAAGCTTGGTGTACATAATTATATGTACATAGAAGTGTTCATATAGTGAGTCCCAACACCCTTTTGTACACCAAGCTTTATCTTTCATTGGGTGGGCCTCACACCCATGTAAGTGTATGGTCATCCTTTTGTACATAATATTATGTACACCAAGTACAATTCAAAGATGAAATGGGAATTATGGAGTGTCTTCTCCTTCACTCAAGGCGAGTTGATCTTGAAACATATATGGGGGAAGTGTCAGTTAGCCAGTGAGACGTCGGAATGATCTATTGTGTCGTCGTCCACTATCACGTTATAAGCATTTTGTAATATTTTGACAATCTACACTGAGATATCATTATGGACAATTCGGCATGTTCACTATTGTTTGGGGTCATGTTGGGTTGTATTTATGAAAATTGATTAGATCTTGTGAAGTCCTGTCTCGACACGTGTTCACTATTTTATAATTTTTTAACACAATAATTTATCGTAATGAGCAATTTTCGCAACCTGTGAAAAGGAAAGGAAAACCTCATAGTGTAAATCTTGATTAAGACTATAGCCCTGAAGTTGCGTTTCCATCTATCAAATCAAACCAATCACAATTAGTATTCATAGTGGATTTGGGCCGTAAGGTATCTTGTGTTGGAAGCTGACTAAAGGTATTGCTGGACAATTATGAGGGCCCATATTGAGATACAGACCCGACTGATTCTAAATTGTAGCCCATCAGGGCCCAAACTTTCCTAACGTGAAATTAATAATCACCTCAAATTTTCCTTAAAAAACCAAATCAATTCTACTATTTTCCTTTTGGCGGACGATAGACACCAATCAATCGGAAAAATATACTATCAGTCTAAGCATAAAATATATCCACTAGCGTAATCGCAAGTTATATTAACAGGCACAATTATCACAACAAAAGTCACACGATACTTAGACGGGTGACACAAATTGAAATTTGGTCATCCACTATTTATATTATTATCAGTTACATGTACGGTCACAAATCGCAAAATTTACAATACCAATTCACACCTCGTGAATTATGGTGACAATGTTGTTTATCACAAAATTAAAAGGATTGAAATTATCTTAAACCATGCGGAACACTTTTTGCACGTTGCGTTCAGAATTTACGAAACGTCTCATGAGAATTATGAATGAATAAATGTTGCTCTCTTTAAATCATAAAGAAAAGAGTAATATTATTTGCAGTCGCTCAATGTCATAGTCGTCTTATAGGGCATACATGTGGCGGTTAATGATTTGATACATTGATGTTATAGTGAGGATTGTAAATAACATTATTCTAAAGGTAAAGAAAAATATAAGAACAGCGCCTAATTTGTCAGATTTCTAAAATTGTCAAATAATAAAAATAAACTGCAGTTATCTACTTTTTGGATTTTTCTAAATAATTTGTCAAGTTATTTATGGACACAAGATTTGTCAAAAGAAATAATTAGTGATAGGGTTAAACCTAATTTTTTTCATTTACAAATCCCGGTTTCTTTGGCCCAAAATTCCATCCATCATATCAATCACTATTATATATTAATATTTAATAGGTAAATAGCAGCAAACATCCTCTAGCCTTCGTTTGCAAATTTCATCCCTAATTTTTTTTCTGGACGACTAAGTCCCTAAACTTCGATAAATTAGCGTAATTCTTCCAAAAATATTTGACCAGAATATCAGAAAATTGAAAAGATCAGAGTAGGCATTCCAGTTTCTTTAACTAATACAAAATAATAAAAAATCATAACACAAAATACAAAAGATGGCAACAAACCAAGGAGAGATCTTACTTGCCAACCGCAACGACTAGCAATGGTAAAAGAAGGTCTAACATCAAAGACAACACAATCATTATTAGTGAAACTTGATCGTCAGCGAATAGGGAGAGAAAATCTCCTAATTTTTGTGGCGATTGATGTAGTATATTAGTGGTGGCAAGGTGACGCGTGTGTAATATCAGTGCGGGCATGTGTTGGGAGTGGTACGCAAGTAAAGAAAACGATTATATATTTTCTTATTGAACTCTTTAGTTTTTTTTTTTTTTGCTTTTTTTAATTTTTAGTTTTTGACTGTTATTTCATTATTTCAGTCGTCATTTTTTACTTCTTCATTCATAGGTAAGACCAACTTTTCTCTCCAACGATTAAAAAATCAATTCTTAAAATCAATACCGAACAAACCTTAAAAGTTTTAAAATGATGATTTTGCCCTTTTGAATTTTTTAATATTCTAGTCAAATTCGTTGATGACGGATGGAAATCATCCATGATGACCTACCTAGCTGTCCAAATAAAAGGTTAGGGACGAAGTTGTATCAGAATGCAAAAGGTTGGGGATGTTTGTTACTATTTACCCTATTTTCACTCCAATTGCACTTTGGACTTGGGCCCAAGTGGGGTATACCGTCTTCGGCCACGTGAGCCTAATGAAAGGGACTGCTGGACGGTTAGACGGGCCCATATTGAGAGAGACAGATGGGACTGATTCTGAAATTGTAGTCCAAAAGTATCCAAGTCCAGAAGCGTGCAATTTTAATCACATCAATTTTCCCTTTAAAGCCTCGTCAATTTTACTCTTTTCTTTTCCTTTTTGAAACAATTTTCATAACCACTATATGAAAGAATTGACTTGGCTAACACAAACAGTGAACCGTGTAGTTCAATTACACAACATGAATAAATAAAATTTGATTTTAGACGAGCTCTAATAAGGGTTTGTTTGAGCTCCATTTTTTTCAAAAATAAATTTTGTAATAGTGATTTTTTAGAGAATATGTGGTTTAAAAGTAAGGAAAAATTTTAAATGTATATGCAAAATTAGTTTATTAAAAGAATATGTAACTAAAAGTGAATTTGAAGAAAAATAATTTTTTAAAGAATGGAGCTCAAAAATGACTAAATAACATATACATAAATTATATCAGACAAATAAATGCCTTGGTAAGCTATTGCCTCATCAACTAACTAATCAGATGCAAGCTCCTCATCGGACGGATTTCTCCTTTCGTTCCTCAGTCCTTGCTCTCCCAACTCAATCACATGCAGCTAGGCTTCCAACTCGGCCAACTCTCCCTTCTGTGCTACCTGGCCAAAAAAGAGTATATGATATTTTTGAGAAGAAGAGCATACTTACCTTGAAGAACTCTTGAAAGTCGCTTGTGAAAGTAGTTCTTTTGACTAGAGAAATAATCGCGCAAAGGCTACAATGTGCTTGAAATTGGTCCCCACCTAGTATCTATTGTTGACTTTGTGTGCTAGAGCTTGGCACATAGGAACTGAACAAGTGAAAAAGAGGAAATAAATAGCAAAATAATTTGAATATGGACCCACAAGCAAAGCTAAAGTAAAGGAAATAATATAAGTGGACCCACCTTAGTAGCAAGCTGTTGGAGCATTAAGGCAGTACAAGTATGATATTAGTTTAACCTCAATTTTAGTCCTCGACGTAGTAACTATGCAATTGACTATGCTTGGATTTAATTAGTATGGATGCTTCGCTCGACCATTGAATTTGATTAGACAGAGACTCGAACATGTAAATCATGAGACTCGTGAAATCTTAGATTGTAATAAAGTCATGCAAGATTCGATTGTAATAAGTATGCGGTTTTAAAAAAATAGCATAGAAAGCTTTATTTCAATTATTTACCTGCATTTTGGACAGTTTTAATTAGTTCATCTCCAATCAGGGTTTTGAACTCAATAAAACACTGCAAATTTCTTATGCATTCACTAATTAATAGGTATTAAGTTATCCTCTATGTATATATTATCGTATTGAAGTATAACAATGGTTTATCGTCGCAGTATTGCACAAACATAGTTATATGCCATTTCCCAATAGAAATATGGATTACTAGCACAACGTACATATATCCCTGAAGAGGACAAATTATTTTACACTCACATTATAATAACACTCCATTGTCGTACTCATAACAAGTCATACATTTTTTGTCCTTGAGAAAATAAATGAAACAAGAAGCATATGAAATTGCACCTTTTCCTAATAATGGTCACAATATGCTTCTTCACCAACCCAAGATTTAATACGAGCTCTTTATATATCTTAATTACATGCTCTTGGAATCATTTGAAGAGTCATTATTCCATGGAGAAGCATATGGATGAAGCAATCCCGGATTCGACTCTCCTCCATTATACTGAGCATTAGTCCTCGAAAATGTTGAATTGGACTGAACTGGATGCGAATGTGATACATCATTGTTTGCATATAACATCAAATCAGCATTTGTAGCATCTAATTCCTTTTGGAGATGAAGGACTTGCCTTTGAAGAACAGATATTGCTCCAACACAGCCATAAACAGGATCTTTTAGTCGCGCCTCGGCTTCATATGCAAGAGAATTCACTGCATCTTCTCTCTGATTAGGGGGGATTTCATTTAGCAATTTGCTAACATTGCTTGCCCCAAATATTTTGTGTACATTGGCAAATTTTGTCGGCTCCTCTGGAGGAAAGTATGCAGCAAAAGTGCAACTTGGCAAGCATTTTCTCCTTAGAAATTTGCAGGCAGCACAAGGAGGGTTTGAATAGCTGGAAGAAGCCATTTGACTGAAAATTGAATTATATAACAAGGCCAATCAATTATCAAAGTCACATAAAAAAAACTATACAATTCATTAATTATGAGTAAATTATTTTGAGAAAAATAGTTTTCTCTTGGCCAAGATCTGGTGCTTGAGGGAAGTAATTCTCTTTCAAGAAATCTATGTAAAATGTAACATCTATTGTTCGAGTCATAGATTAAGTGGACATTTATAAACTGAATTGCCATGTAATTTTTTCGAAACCATTCATCAAAACTAGGAAAAATTGTATTCGAAATATCACTGAAAAGAGACAATTGTCATTACTTGAAAAAGAGCAAACGCGTTCTATGAAAACTATGTCTAGAAATATAAACACGGAACAAGATACCTGTTACCGTTACGTAGTGGGCTAGCTATACCCTAAGAAAACACGAAGATTGACAAGAAAAATAGTTGGATCAAACAACATACAAACAAGTATGCCAGTCACAGGGAAATCATCCTCATCCTGGTACAAAATCAAAAGGATTGGCCAGAAAATTAGTAAAATTCAAATCGAATATCAAATATATAAGCTTAAGAGACTGATTTCTAATTGATTAATTGGTTTCTGTATTTCCTCCTCCTATCTCTACAGAACATATCCATTGATAATTGCAAAATACTTCTCCTTCCATAAATTCAGAATTATACAAGAAAATAAATAAATAAATTACTTTAGATTTCATCTAAATAAATCTCAATCAAATAATTAAATAAAATAGAAACTTGATAGTATACAACTATAAATGTTCAAACCTGAACCACGTAAATTTAGTTAATTCCTGATCAATTGCGCCTAAGTGATCGCTTGTTAAGAGTAAAATCCCACACTTAAATACAAAAAATAAAAAATAAAAAATAATATATAAGAATTTAGACTACTCAAGAAGTTGACAACTCGATATTATTCGTGCATTCCAGTGTGTGTATTATTGTATATATAATAGTACATTAACCAAAAGTCAAGATCATACTGCAACATATATATTTCTTACTTCATCAATCAACCCTGCAAAAAAGATGCAAGTCAAAATTGGAAAAAGATGGATCTTAAGGAACTAATCCAAAGACCCGACAAAATATGTACCTCCTTTTGCGGATCTATCTTTTGCTCTAATAGACCAACTCAACAATTTTTACTTTATTTTTCTTGAGGAAGAACCAGAAAGGGAACAAGGGTTTTCTCTTTTCAAAAGAAAGAGAACTTCGTATATTTTGTTTCGAGCTTCTTCACAATTCACATTGATTCTTTTAAGGATGATGCTATCAGACAGTCATAGGAAACTAAAGAGTTTAGGATTTAATGTTGCTAAATGTTAGAGAAGAAAAGGGAAAAGTGAAAACCCTAGTAGCAAGAAAGAGGACACTGATGAAAAAGAATGCACCGTAATGCAAAGGTAAGGAATTATGATGAGTTTGGTGAATGGTGAAGGAATGTCAAGTTAAAGCTTTTGCCATAATTAATAGACCTAAAATAATTATTAATTAATTAAACTAATGCTGACTGTGACCCCTCTTCTTTTTATAAAAATTATCACAACAAAGTAGAAATTAAGTCTTTCTTTATTAATTATATTGTTTTCAATTTGTAATTTATTGTAGTCATAATCAAGTCCTTAAACAAATCAAGACGTGGAACTAATGCTTGTTACTCTTCCAAAATCATGCTCTATTTCTTAGGTTCTATGAATTTTTTTTATTTAGCCTTATTTGATGGAGATTAAAATCAATTTTTTTTGTAGGTTTTGATAAGATTAGTTGATAAAATGTGTGGTTGAAAAGTTTTAAATTCCATAAAATATGTAATTATATTAAAAAGTGATTTTGATTTAAATTTTAATCCCTACAAAATATGGACTTCTTTTAAATAATTCAGGAACGATAGAGAATATACAAACAATAGTTGAAATATATTTTATAAATCGAATATGCTTTAATAAAGTTCACAAACATAGTGGAGTTGAAAACCTATATGAATTTAACAAAAATGTTCAAGCTCGGCTTCTTATAATAGTCGAGTTGAGCGTGAATGATCCTAGACGGCCGAAACATATTTACACCCTAAAAATATCTTTTGAAATTAATTCCTATATAAATTTAAGTGAAATTGAATTCTTCTTATTATTACTTTGCTTTCAAAAATTTTAGGAACACGAAAACTTGACTTGGATTTAAAAGGAAATTAATTGTACCAATAATAATAATAATAGTAATAATAATAATAATAATAGTTTGAAGTTACAATGATATTGACATAATGTCTGTCATTCTTTAATTTTTAATTCAAACTGTCCAAAACAAAATTTTTGGACCTTACATTAATTTGTTGCTTCTATTATTGAATTATCCTGCAACATTATCTACAAATATCTTTTAACTTGATAATTTGATATGTATTGTCTTTAACTCAATGTCGATATGTGTTCATGAAATGACAAATAATTATAAAATCCAATTGAAGTACCTATCCTTTTAGATTTACTTCAATTTATGTTTGGTGCCACTATTTACATTTCTAGAATTTTATATAGTACATCCCATTAAAATTTTAAAATTTTAAAAAATTACTATTTTCATCCACGTCAAATTTCAATATTGTCCTTATTAAATTCATTTATTTAAACATTATAAATCTACACAAATTTTATGTATTCACCTCACTCTAAATACATCCTTAAGACAATTTCAAAAAATTTTAAAATCACTATATTCATCTAATCACTATCAACATCTAATATGGTTCTTACTTTTCCTTTTCTATATTGTCATGTTGGTGCTTTAATATTTCATTGTAAATGTTGGCTAATCTCTTTTCTTGAATTTATTGGATTCTCTCAAGGGTGCATTACTACACAACCAAACAAATCCCTCCTCGAATCATATTTTAATTAATTAATATATTTATTTTTGCTTATAGGCTATTAATTTTGATTGTTTGTGTCTTGGTTGGTAATTTTAAGTTTGTTTTCTTTTGTAATGCAAGAATATTTGAACAGGTATTAAATCTTATTTTGAAATTTCTTGTATACTTTCATCTATCAAACCAATAATTAAAACAAAGCATAAAAATAAGATTTCATTTTCCATATCATGAATTGTAATTAAAATAATGTGTTGACTTTATTTTTTTTCTTTAAATTTCAGTTGAAGATGATAAATTATGATTATAAGGGTTTTAAGATTTTAATGGAAAGTGATATTTTATGATTATTAGAATTTTAGCAAACATAAACTCTAAAAAATATAAAATTGTTCAAAAGAATTTATGAAAATAAATATTAACAGATGAATTTAAAACAATATATTTTGAAGTGAGTGAATAGAGTATTATATTTTATCTCACACATATATTTAAAATTTAGTCGAAAACTACACTAGATGAAAGTAGCGTACAACTTGGATGGAGATGTTTAATATCTCTATCCATCCTACAATGTCGGGTGGAAAAAGCCGAAATAAGTAAACTGTGGATGTAAATAAGGGTACCCTTATATTTTTATTCACGGGTTGCATTTAACAAACATATTTATATTTGTGAAGATCGTGCTATTTGGGGATAACAATATTGTTGCAATTGCAAACCTAAGTTTAAATTCAAATTGAATTTTCATCGATTGTTACTTACTAAAGTTACGTACCGATTACAAAAATCTGTAATATATCTGTCTAGACTTGAAATTTCATCTTAAAATGTCAACCTTATTAAGGGGAATAGTCCAAGTCTTATAAGTTTGTCAATATTTTCATCTTTATTTGATGTGGAATTTATCCATTAATATGCCCTTGTAAGATGGTGACTCATTTGAATAAATCAATCTTGAAATCATCGTGGCATTTTTTAATCTTAATTCGATCGAACTGCTAGTTCGAGCTTAATAAACTCTAATACCGTATTAAGACTTGGAGTTATTCTTAAAACGTCAACCTTATTAAGCGGAGTATTCCAAGTATTATAAATTGACCTATGTTTTTATCTTTATTTGATGTGAGATTTATCTATTAATAACATCAACCTAAATAAGAAAGGGGTTCAAGAATCTATTTTCCTTTATAAGGGCTAAAATTACTTATTTTGGCTTTTTCCACCCTACATTGTAAGATGGACAGAAATATTAAACATCTCCGTCCAAGTTGTACACTACTTTCATCTAATGTAGCTTTTGGCTAAGTTTTAATTATATATGTGAGATCAAATAAGATATTCTATTCACTCACTTTAATTTGAGTATCAGTAAACGAGAGTTCTAATTTCGCATTGATTTGCTCCAAACCCCACCCTCGTTGGTTTTGATGGACCAAAGAGGAAGCATTAGCATATCTTGTTTTAATGTTTTCTACTTCCTTATTATTTTCCCTTAAAGTTACTCGCAAATGCTTTATGCAAGTGCCAACACTTTGTTGAGAATTAAAAACCCTAATTTTATACCATCAAAAGTAATAAAATCGCAAAATAAAAAAAAAAAAAGACGCAAAAATAATGTATAGAGGTTTGCCTTAATGTGAGACTTTATCATTTTCTACTATTACAGTATTAAATACAGTGAAGAAATTTTATAAGAGAAAAATCGTACACCCTATTTGGATAGGCTATCTCATTGAACTTTAACATGTTAATTAATTTTGGTGTATATATGATAAGTGTTAATTAATTAAGTCTATGCCAACATGCTGTCACTCGAGACTAGAATACAAATGCGCCATTCTTTGGACTATATGGCGTGATTTTCTTTAATGGTATTGAAGGAAAAAGGTATACATGAATTTAGAAATTAAGAGTCAGTTTTCATGATTGTAAAGCACTTGCTTAGCCTTATAGATGTTTTCTAGACATTTCTCTATGGGTACATGAATCTATATGAGTATATTGTTATCTTATCATATGTAATCATTGGTGTGTGACAAATAATAATTCCTTACCTTTCAATCATAAGACATTCGTTGGTTAAATCATCTCGATCATTTACTATTTTATGTTGAACCATTTAATTTAAAAGTTTAAATGATTGAATAGTACTACGATTATATCATTTAAATATTATCTTCAACATATCTCATTACGTATAAACGAGATTTTTTTCCAACAAAGCCTAATGAGTGCACAATTAACTTAAATGAGCTACAGGATGACTTGAACCGAGGATCTTTGCCCATGCTGATATCATGTTAGAAACAAATAAGAGTCATTCATTATTATTTATATAAGGTAGTCTGGTCTTTTCCTTTCTAGGACAATTTTTTGGCATGTCAAATAATACGACTTGTTTGTCTAACATGGTAATCTAAAAGTTTGTACTGTTAAATAGCATTACAGGTTTTCTAGACATTTCTCTATGGGTACATGAATCTATATGACTATATTGTTATCTTATCATATGTAATCATTGGTGTGTGACAAATAATAATTCCTTACCTTTCAATCATAAGACATTCGTTGGTTAAATCATCTCGATCATTTACTATTTTATGTTGAACCATTTAATTTAAAAGTTTAAATGATTGAATAGTACTACGATTATATCATTTAAATATTATCTTCAACATATCTCATTACGTATAAACGAGATTTTTTTCCAACAAAGCCTAATGAGTGCACAATTAACTTAAATGAGCTACAGGATGACTTGAACCGAGGATCTTTGCCCGTGCTGTTATCATGTTAGAAACAAATAAGAGTCATTCATTATTATTTATATAAGGTAGTCTGGTCTTTTCCTTTCTGGGACAATTTTTTGGCATGTCAAATAATACGACTTGTTTGTCTAACATGGTAATCTAAAAGTTTGTACTGTTAAATAGCATTACATATACATCATTTAAATATAGTTTTCAAGATTCTAGCTTTAGATCATTACCATTAGAGAAAAAAAGAAATGCAATAATCCATTTTTCAAAATCGTCATCCTTAGTTGCAATACATTGGAGGCATATCTCTTTGTTTGCGGGATAAGAGTAGAAATGCATGAGAGAACGCTTCACAAAATAATCATATGTCGCAGTGAAAAAATTCACATTGGTTTGTGAACCTCACGTTCTTGACCCACTAGTAAAAAAGATGGGATTCCTAAATAATAAGATGCTAAGACAATTGAAAAAGTCACAATGGAAGTAACTAGCTTGTATATGGATGATTAGGATTCTATGTCATCAAAGATATCTTTGAAAACAGATTTTAATATATTCTGATAAAATAAAAATAAAAAAATAAAAAGTAAGTGATTCTTGGCATGCCTACAAGAATTCTTTATGCATCCTTACTAGATTGCAATCCAAAAGTTGGGAATAATTTGGAGGAATAACACAAATCAATTTAGGTATGGTTCTAATGATTAGACAGACAATTATTGGTCCTTGATGGGTATTTTATACCCATCAAATATCGTACACACATTTTATAAAATATGGATTTTTATTGGACACTGAATTCTCAAAAGATAGGGCATCAGAGTTTGTGACCCCAACAAATAATTGCTGATTCTCCAAGCAGGTATTAGATCATATACAATTTCATCCTCTGTAACAAAAGTCAATCCAATTCTAAGATTCCATGAACACTAACATAAATGGTAAAGAGACAAGTATTTATACAACAATGAAATTACACTAATATAAGATGTTGAGTGCATGTGTGGTACACAGTTCGTGAGTTCTCAACAGGCAACACTAACATAAATGGTAAAGAGACAAGTATATATACAACAATGAAATTACACTAATAAAAGATGTTGAGTGCATGTGTGGTATACAGTTCGTGAGTTCTCAATAGGCATTAAGTTGACAGTATAACTAAACAAAATTTCTAGTCGTTTTTATGTCCAATATTATCTAATCCTCTATCCATATACTATGCACTAATAAATAAGTTGAACAATGAGGAAGTTCTATCAGGAAACCAGAAAGTAGTCTTGGATTGTCTTTCTCTTCAATGAGAAGGAGGGTTTAGCACAGATGAAGGGCCTTTCATTTCAGCTTCTGGAGTTTTCTCAAAATTTTTATTTACTTCAGAATTAAATGAAAATTTTTCTCCATGGATTCAGGGATTCCAACTTCGTGCTTTCTACTTGAACTGGGCGAGTTAACAGGGGATACAACGTTTAAAGGCCAAATTTCAGTGTCACTCTGTAGATAATGTTTCGTCCACAACTGCTCTAATTTTGAGACAGTCTTTCACTTTTATTTGGGTTTCGGCACGCCATGTCTCCATTAGTTATGTTAATGAAAATGATGTGGCTCGTGGAATTGATGATACAGCTCATGGAAACTGTGATGTGGCATTAGAAACTGATTTGGCTGTGACAAATATAGTGAACATCAGTGAGTTAACAAACTTGCAAAAGTTGAGTGACTTAGTTAAAACAAAAAAAAAAAATCAATGATCAAGCGAAATGATACTAGTGATAACAGCGCGAAAAAAGAATTTAAGAATATAGCATCATTGGAAATGCTTAATTTGTAGTGTATCTTACTGTGAAATCATCAGAACAGGTTGTAGCCTTCCCCATCTCTGAAGGGCACCCAGAGGAAATATTTTGAGAAATTTGATTAGAGTTGTAGCAGTGAAGGCTAAAGCATCATAATCCTGTTTGCTAGATAATATTGGATAGCACTTGACAGTATCGAAGAACTAAAGAATAAAGTTAAAATCTTAATCATTCCTTCAAATCCTCTACAGTAGTTCATTCCAAGCTTGCAACAAAAGGCTTACCAAACAACTGCAATGACTTCTCCATCGTGGCTTTTCAAAGTGATAGGATCCACACGAGGTTTACTTACCTGCTTTAACATGGTTAATGGAGTTAAATTTAGATGTACAAATACTAGAAGAAAGTATCCATAAAGAAATTAACCTGCCATATATAGGCATTTCCATCACCAGAACCACCCGGCATATGAGATGCATGAGGACTAATTACCGACTGTAAATCACCAACTATGACATATGTCAGCAATGCAGCAGTATGCAACTGAAGCATTAAACACCTTACTATTAAATAAAATCAATACCTTCACAAAAAATGATTCAATTCGACCTCCAGAGAAAGTTTTTATGGCCGCCTTTTCAAGCTGAAGTACATTATACATGTATAGTCTGAAAATGAAATATCATAACCAAACAAAGAATATTAACATTTACATATTTACATCCTTGTTTGCTATGATCTCAGATGATCCTGACTGTATGAAAACATTTATTATGTGTGCTTTTGTGATGAAGCGTGTCAGCTGGTTTCAATTATATAGGCAGTGTAAGCTCAACTATGATCCATGCACGAGGCTGTGATAAATACTCAATTCAAATCTTGAGACAAGCTAGATATGCCAAGTAATCTCTTTTCCTGAACAAGAACAGATTAATATTTTCCCTTTTGAAAGTGCAACTAAACTTTAATTTTTACAGCACTACAGATAAAAGGATATATACGTGAATTATTCCATTTGAGGTATTTCGCCGTATCAAAATTCTAGATTATACACCGTTAATGGCTCTATAGATGCCAGAAATCATAAGGAATGCAATGCAGAATTCATATTCACTATTTTGTTATGAGGTGAATGTGTTCAAAAAACAAGTACAGGTGATTATTATGGTAAGTAAAACTAACCTTTGTCCTTGACTCAGAATAAGAGCATGCCTGAGTATCTGGACCTTTAAGATGCCTTGTGTCCCATAACTTGATTACACTGAAACTAAAGGGCCTTCGAATATAAAATTATCATTATCTCAAGGTAGTAAACAACCAGATGAACTAACCATCTATATTTTCAAGCATTACAAAGTTTCTCAGAACACCAGTAATATTCTTCAGTTCAAATCCTATTGGAATGTCCTACACTGTGTGCGGACTGGACCTATGGTGATTTCAGACACCTGAAAGCAACTGACATTCTAGTTTCATCGTAACAATAATTATTTTCATCAAATTTTGAGTTAGTAGTAGAAAAATTAGAAGCGGCGAAAGATGGTTGAGAGCTAGAAAAGTTAGAGGTGTTCCTTAAAACAAGAATATAAGCCGAAAAGTGGAAGTGATATTAATTGAGAATAAATAAAGGAAAGAATGCCTTAGATAAAACATTTGTGTAGACCCTAAGAATTTTGCCTTCACAGGAGTAAAGTAATCCTGATAGAATTAGCTTTCAGAATCATCAGTGAACCAAATTTATGCCGTGAAGCTATTGCAAAAATAGAAACTTCCTATGACCTTTGCAAAAGAGGTAGTTTTGTATTTAATGCAAGCGACAGAAAAAGATTTAGATAACAGAAAATGAATAAGGAAACTTTCAAAAATGTCATCTCATGGTGCGTGTGATGTTTATGGTTCTATCACTATATTCAGAATAAATAACTGACTTTAAATATGTCTGTTTCTAATTCAAACGTCATAATTTCATATCAGGGATGATTAATATGTTCTCATTATCCACCATAGATTTCGTAATAAATAATGCCCACGCCTTTGCATTAACTTTATACAGGAAAAGTTCACCAGCCAAAGAATCATTCTATTAATTACATTACACTAGGTAGTACTTTAATTTCTGGAACATGTTGCAATGACAATCAGCGTGTTCATGAGTTCAATGCGCTTTGAAATCCAATTGAAACACTTGTGAAAATACAAAGCTGAGATAAATAGGCACCTTGATCCAACGTATATCGAATATGGCACTATCATGAGCAAACCACTCTGAAATCTTGGCTTTTCTGCAAATATATTTGCAACAATAATTAGCACCTTGAACACCATATTAATGATCTTCGAATGTGGAAAATATAATTCACCTGCATTTCTTCGTAATGTGAGGAATCCAGAAACTTCTGCCTTGTATTGTAAAGTCCAATATGAACCTCCTCATCGGTGAGAGCAAGAATGTGAGGATTTTTATTTGTCTGAGAAATCACAAGAAAAATGACAATCCAACAATTTTAATGGCTGATGCTAAACCTGATGCAATTCAATACTTCGACACATTTTTATTGACTGAATTGGATCTAAATTACCACTTTTCCATTTAAAAACTAGCCTATCAGCAGAACTTGTGAAAATGGGTATTCCCCATCCAATTTCAACGAAGTTTAAAGCACCAACTACGTCTAAACGTCAACATTTACACATAATTTAATCACTATAAAATAAACAATGATATTGACCTTGCAGAAAGACAGAACCAATGGAGGTGATGGATCGCCGCCATGCTCTACAGACGCGGCCTCAATTGGAGCCAAATCATGGGAACCGTTGCCCGTGTAATTTGGAGAGTGAGGCCAAACATGGGCTTAGGCCTTGTTTTGCAACCATTATTTTTCAAATTTTTTTCTACGTATTCATTTTTAATTATACATCCATAAAAAAAAATATTTTTGCACGAAAACTCAAAATTTTTCATATTTTTTACACATTCTTCTAAAAATCACTATTCAAAACTCTATTTTCCCTTAATAATAATTATCAAAAAGTGGCTTATTTTTAACTTCACGTTTTATTGAATTTATAATTTTTATTCCTTTTTAATTACATGTTCAATGAGATCCAACTACTTAGAATCTCGAAAAGCATTATCGAGCTGAGCCCTTGATTGAAAGCCATTAAAATGATATTTTTTTCTCGAACTCATTTTTAATAATATGTTTTCACAATAAAAAAATTTATGCAAGTAAATTCAAAATATATATATATATATACACTTTTTAATCATACATTTTTCAAACAAACACTATTTCAAAACTCGTCCTACAAAAAAAAAAAATCATTTTAGTGATTGTCAAACAAAAGTTGATAATTGCCTTTTAACTTAAATCGCCTTAACCTATTTATTTTGATGCAGGACTTTTTAATTCAGTTGTCATTGAGTTGGCAAATGATGGGTTACTTACTATTCTACCCTATACAAGTCTCATTTCTTATATTTATTTTCAAACTCACAAGTCACACCATCTAATAAAATAAGTTAGTATTGAAATTCAAAATTTTTCCTACTTTGTAATCACACATTTCTCAGCAAAATATTAAAAAAAAAAATCAAAATTCATTCTAAAATTTTGGGACTCAAAGGGACTCCTGCCCTTTGTTTGGTTTAGCTATGTAAAATATTTTAGTAGATTTTGATAAAATTTGATTAAATAAGCGATTGAAAAAATGTGAATATCAAGAAATATGTAGTAAAAATGAATTTGAGGAAAAAAAAGTAGAAAGTGCTTGCCAAACATGGCTATACTTTTCGGACTTGCACTCTATATAATATCTATTTGGTGTAGATTAAAATCAGATTTTTTGTATATTTTAATTAAAGTTGATGAAATGTGTGGTTAAAAAGTTCTAAATTTCATGAAATATATGATAAACGGTAATTGTTCTTTGACGTAAGATTTTAATTTGATTTTAATTTAAACCAAACAGAGACATAATTTACTTATTTTGCTTCCATAATAGTTTCTTATATAGAGTAATTAACACAAAACGTTCATAAATTTCAATGTTACTTTTTTCATTTTTTGACATTTTAATCTTTATTTTCACACTTTATTGTGAAAAATCATCATTTTCATCAAATTTTATAACGAAAAAATATATAAAAAAATAAAATGACACTTACTTCTTTTTAAATAAAACAAAAAAGAAAAAGAAAAATTAAAGAATAAATTATAATCACACTCCAAACTTTTTTAAAAAGTACAAATGGGTCCAATTAAATAATTAAAATGGTAATTAGTAAAAAAAAAGTTCATATCTTTCATTTTTTTGACGTTTTCACCCTTATTTTCACATTTCATTGCGAAAATTATGATTTTTCATTCATTTTTTCAATTAAAAAATATAAAATAACAATTATAATCTTATTTTTAAATAAAACAAAGATTAAGAAAAAAGAACAAATTGCAACTATACTCCAAAATTTATCATTAAAGTACAAATAAATAATTAAAAAATAAATTTTGAAAGTACAAATAAATAATTAAAAAATAAATTTTGAAAAAATAAAAATCACTTTCTTTTTTAATGATTTATTTGAAATTTATTTATATATTTTTAAAATTTTGTGAATATAGTTTCAATTTGTTCTTTATTTTTCTTTTATTTATTTTCATTTTATTCAAAGATAATGGTACATTTGTCATTTTATAGTTTTTAATTGAGAAAATTGATGAAAATTGTGATTTTCACAATGAAATATAAAAATAAATGGTGAAATATGGACGTTTTATACAATAATATTGAAAAATAAAGACATTTTATACTAATTATCCTTTTAATAATTTATTTGAATTCATTTGCACTTTTTAAAAAGGTTTAGGAGTATGATTGCGATTTATTTTTTAATTTTTCTTTTCATTTTTTGTTTTATTCAATAAAAGGGAATATTTGTCATTTTACATTTTTTAATTGAAAAATTGAATGAAAATGATGATTTCCGTAGCGAAAGGTGAAAGTGTGAATGGAAATGAAAAAAAAAATTGACATTTTGCACAATAACATTGAAATGTAAGAATGTTTTATGCAAATTACCTTCTTACATGCTTTGCAAATGTCAATTTTTTGACAAAAATTTAAAACGTAAAAGGTAGTGAACCAAGTTGCCGCAAATTCTATAAATTGAGATAAAAGCTGCAATTTTCTCTATTTTTAGTACAGCTAATTTCGAAATAACTATTGCAAAACTATTTTTTAAATTTTCAGAGAGGCAATGATGCCCGCTGTTCAATTCGGCGCGCGGAGGTGTCGCCCCAGTAAATATACAGTAGAGCTTACCAGCTAGCCAATTCAGATTTCTCAAGTTATTACAATTCCGAGTTCAAACCAGAAGTGAGCAGATAAATTTCTCCAAAGATAATGGCGAAAAGGCGGAAGGGCTTATATACATATTCTTCCCTGCACAGCAGATCTATGCAAAAATTCCATGCAGAAATCAGGTGATCTCCTCTCTTCACCCTCTATAAACAGATTGACGTGTACCTAAATTATTGATAATACTATTCTGGACTACGATTGATGGACTCTATGAGAGATTACGGTTCTCCCAATTTGAATTTGTTGACATCTCCAATCCTGCACCAAAGTTTGCACCAAACTAAAATTCACCACCAACCATTGTACAAATGATAGTTTTTATTATTTTATTCATTCTTTGGGTTTTTGACAATGTATTTATTTTTAAAAAATTATTTATTTATTTTATAACTATATAAATTACTAAATCATAACTACGTTAAAGTAACAAATATATTGAATTATTGTTGATTAATAAATTATTCACATGTTTTATATATTATGTTAAATTGACGAAAATAATTACTAAATTAAAAAATCCTTAATTAATATTGATTATATTATTATTATTATTATTATAAAACGAAAATGTCACAAATATCTTTAATCATTATATTTGAAAAATGAAAGAGATGGGCAAAACCAGACATTGCACCATTTGGTACAAAAAATGGTGCAATGAACAGTGTTGTACGAAAACTGTTCACGCTGCAACGGTTGGAGGGACGTATTTTGGTGCAAAAGGGTGCCCATTCAATGCTACACCAAATTTCGCCAAAATTTGGTGCAAAAGCTGTGCCTAAGTTTTCACTATTTTGCAAAATGGTGCAAAGTGAATAATATTGCACCGAATGGTGCAAAGTCAAATTTGCCATTTTTTTTTCCAGTTGCCAAAGTAATTGATGGAGGGTACTTGTGTCATTTGTCTTATATATTTTTTAATATAATAATAATAATATTATTATTATTATTATTATTTGATTTAATATTTTCATTTTTTTAATGACATGATTTAATATTTTCATTTTTATAGTGTTTCTACTAATTGTATTATATTTTTTATATTTATTAATGAATTTAATCTTTTCCTTAATTTAACATAATTATTTATTTAGTAATTTATGTATTTGTAAAATATATAAATAAATAATTTTTCAAATAAATAAATTATTAATAATAAAAAAAGAGAAGAAAATGATTAAACACTATTCATTTAATATAAATTTTGGTATAATGGTTGGAGATGATTTTTAGTATGGTGCAAAGTTGGAGATGACTTAAGTTTAATCATTTCGATTTCTCTGTGATATATTGATATTGCACAATTCATTACATTTTATGCGGTATTGCTCTTCCAGTTTTGTATCTGTTGATGTATGGTGATCTATTGATCCATAAGAAAATAGACATCTGTTTATAACACTCTAAATATAAGGATTACGTACTAAAACACTGAGCACCATGCACAAATCTAATAATGTGTACAAGAAAAAGCAAACAAACCAACAAAACCTTTACCACACGCAAGCACAAACTTTGGAAATTCAGAACACTTGGAACTGTAGTTTAACTGATAGGACGTATTTAACATTCCTCACTTTCTTTTGGCAGTGGTGGCTTTGGATGAGAGGACTTACCGGTGATGGCCTTTTTGACCTTGGCAATTGAGTGCTTCATTTTGGATCCTACGCCTGACAGAATGTTATGTGATTTTTTATGAGCAACTTTGGCATCCACAGCTCCTGTATCCAACATGACAGGAGCTTCAGAGCCCAAGTCGGATTTTTTCTGTTCGTTTGATTCCTCGTGACCATGTTTTTCCTCTTCATGGTTGGCTTCTTCTGTTTTTCCTGCCTTCAGCTCTTCTTTCTGTACTGCTGATTTTCTTCCTTCAGCATGATGATCAGCCATTTCCGAGGATTCTTTCAGCGAGCCCTGAAGAAGGTCTGATAACGAAGGCTCAGCTATCTCTGTGGATGCAGACTTATTAGTCGATTCACTTGTTTCATCAGTTCTTTCCTCTTGACCACATTTTGCTTCCTCTTGCTCAACTCCAGAAGGTTTTTGTATTTCACCTTCAGCCTGAAAAATTTCTGTGGTGGCTTGTTGCAGCTGTGGTACGTTTTTGTATTCAACTGTTGAATTGAAGGCATCCACATTCTTGGTAAGATCTGCATCTGTAATTATTTGCTTATCTGATGCATGTACAGGGACTGCATCTAGGTTTTGTGCGACCTTTGTGACATCAATACTATTGAGTCTTTCAACACACAATTCAACATCGGTCTGTGTTCTTTCCATGTCTGAATATTTGAAATCTGATAAAATGGGTAGCTCATTGTGTTGAGTTGGGGTATATTTATCTTTAGAGCCTTGTGCTGCCTCACTTGAAGAACCCTGAAGCATGTTAGATGGCGTGACCTTATCGTTATTTTCTATAAATTCATTGCAATTATCAACGGTTACTTTTTCTTCTTCACAAATTGCATCTTTAGCATCTGAGACAGCCTCTGAAGAATTTTTTGGTAGCTTTTTTTCTATTTCCTGCCTGAGAGTTGCTGGCATGTGGTCCTGTTGAATTATATCAAATTCTTTTCCACAACTTGAATCCTTTTGTTCCGTGCTTTCATTTGGATCTATCTCTGCTAGATTTTCTTTATTTGATAGTGCAATGAATTTTTCATCCAACTCTTGCATATCCCCAGTTATATTGCTAGCTCTTTGAAGATCTACTGGACCAACCTCCTCTGTTTTTCCCATTTCAGAAGCCTGGATGTGGGGTAGATGAGGTAAGTGCTGAAGTTTGACGAGTTGATCTTGAGTTTCTTGATCATCAACAGCTAACAACATTACTTCTGCAGATCCCTGCATGATTTTTGATGTTGAAATGGTGCATTCCATGGAAGTGGATGCCTCTGTCATTTCTTTGTAATCGTCATTTTCCTTTCTCTCTTCTCCATATTGTACTCCCATTGTTTCTACATCACTGGAAGCAGTTCCAGCTTTTGATTCATGCATTTCAGCATTTACTGTTATTGCTTCAGAGTTATGTTCCATTGGTTGAATGCGTTTGCTGACTGCAGGTGTTATGACTTCTCCACTTTCATTTGGACATGTAGCTTCAGAAATCTCTCTCTTGGTTGTGCCATTAAAGATTTTCTCTAGCATTCTAATATTTGTGGAGTTTTCATTGTCTTTTGCAATACCCAAGACCCTATCACTATGTGATATTTCTGATGTGTCGTTGCTGTGAGATGAAAAATCAGGCTTCTCATTTTCATCTTCAGTTTGTCTGCTACAAGTATCAGTTTCACCCACTATAACCTCTCCTTCTCCTGCTGAAAGCATTACTTGTTCCTGCAACAGACCTCTGCTTATTAGTAGTTATTGCTAATGATGTAGTTTGATGGTGGCAAAGTTTTTATATTTTACCTCGCCCTTTTCTTGTACTCTGTTGGATATGCAAACTCCATATTTCAGTTGCTTGTCTATTTTAAATTGATGCTGGTTTTTGTCCTGCCGTTCATCTCTTTCTTCAGCTCCTAAAGATTCAGAGATGGTCAGCTTCTCATGTTTTCTTTCAGTGCCCTCTTTCTCTCGCGTAATAATTTCTTTGTTATCATCACAAGTCTCAATGGTTTCATAAATCAATTTTGTAGGTGCAGCTTCAGATTTTATATTTTCATTATCCTGTGGTTTTCCTGCAGCTGTGTCTCCCATAGGAGGAAAATTGATGTTTCTATTTTGTAGTCCTGTATCCTTGTTAGCTCCTGTTCTGTCCTCACCATGCTCTGGAAATGCTACCTCTGAGCCTTTAACCTATATGACAAGAAAATCATACACAAAAATTAAAATCTAATGAGGAATTAAAAGCCTATGTAGGAGAATTTTATTTTAGGGAATTGCTTCTGTTGAACTCTAAAAAACAACATGATATTGAGTCCGTAATATTTATATATAGAACTCTTCCAAGTTGCAACTTATTCTTGTAACCGACCAAAGAAGACAAAATAATATTGAAAGGGTGAAATAGGATTATTTATCTTTTGGAATTTTCCGCCTACTGAAAATTGTGCAATCAGAGGTTATAAGAGGGATAAAAGTAATGTATCTGACTGAACTCTTCACTTAATACCTCTCTTTCAGTATCTACATTTCCCTCCTCTTTTACATGGAGGATTTCATCAATTGATTCCTTTGGCTCTTCGACAGCCTTGTCGTCAAATGCAATACGTTCCCTGACATTCTCGTTGATATAAGCCTCTTCAAAATTTTCAGACACCTGCATAATGTATAAAACATGAGCAATATAGAAGAAAATATTGTTGAAGGAAATATAATAACATTTACTTTGTCTCTGACCTTTTCATTTGCACACTTTATAGCTTCTTCCGTCTTTACTTTTGGATCTTCTTCCAGCTTTTCCTCACCCTCTTGGCATCTTTCTGCAATTGTTGCTTCCGTTGGAGATCCAAGCTGGCTATCCTCCACAGCTTCATCTCCATCCTTGATCTGCTTTTCCCCTATCCTCAGTTAGTACATTTAAATACATATAATATTCTATCAGACAGAAAGAATGAACAAATATTTTCCTAAACCTTATCACTTGGCATGTCGATTTTCTTGCTTTCATTTGCTTCAAAATTTTCCTCAGCCACAATTTTCCCAGCTCTTATTTCCTCTTTTGCTGCCTCAAGATTCTCTTTCTCTGATTTCATATGTCCTCCTCTTACGATTACTTCAAAACTTTGAACTTGGGTCTCAGATCCAATAACCTTTTCCAGCTTATCTGGCTGAAGAATTTCTAAATTAGAATCAACCAAATTATCAACTTCGTCCTTTTTTGTACTATTATTCAGACTGTCCTCATCTTTCAATTTCTTGTCTCCGTGTTCTATGCTTTCCTCATTCTCTCCATGATCATTGTTCTCTGCGCTCTGAAGTTTGTTATCACATGACTGTACCTTGGAAAGCAATTCCAGCGATTTCTCCTGAAGTTTTTGTTTTACCTGATCACAGGTTAAATTATCTTCAATCACAGCTCTCTCATATTTGGTCTCAAAGCCTTTTCGATAATCTCTGTCTGTTTCCTTCTCACTGTTTTCTGCATTATTCTTTGTCAAAGTTGGAAACTCCCGATATGTGAGTTCTTCTACGTTCTGATCATTTGACTTGTATGCTTCTCCAGCCTTATTCTCTACATCTGCAAATTCAACTTCGTTGGATTCTGATTTTTTGACAACTGCACTTCCAGTGTCTGCATGGTGAGCTTCAACTGTTTCGGATTGAGGTACTGAGGCAGTATCTTCTGCAACCCCTTCACTCTTAACTTCTTGATCTTCTATGTCATCAGAAGTTGTATTGATGATTTCTGGAGTTTCATCACGTGAATTAGTACACTTTTCATTGTCACTAATTTCCCCCCCACTCGTTTCTTTCTTCATCACAGTACTTGGTGTAGCGTCAGCCTTGTCATTGAACTTATTTGCTTCTCCTTCAACTTTGAAGTTAAGATTCTCATCTGGGGCTTCAGACACTGATCCTGTGACATGCATGTCTCTTTCCTCTACCAAGGTCAGGGCTTCAGAACCAAAGTCTGAACTTTTCAGCTTTCCCGCTTCCACCTCTTCTTCTTTCTCTTCCTTCATTTTTGCTCCTTTGTCTTCAATAGGTTCTGTTTTCTCCGCATGCAACTCTTCTTTGTGGATTGTTAGCTCTTTGTCTTTAGTAGAATGATCTTCCACATGTGTGGTTTCCTCATAGTTTGCTTCATCTAACACGTTTTTATCCAATGCCGGTAGAGAGGCTACCTCCAACTCCTGCATCACCTGATTGTCATCAGAACTAGCAATGCACAATGGAGCATCCTTTTGTGTAATTTCCATAGGCGAATCAATGGTTTGTGCTAAAATGTGAATGCCTTCACGTTGATTCACTGTTTCTTTTTCTTCACCCTCCTGCATTGTCTCTGTACTAGATTCTGGAAGAGGGTTGGAATGTGAGATTACATCCATTGCCACAAACCTCGAACTGGCCACTATCTCTTCACAGTGGCCATTAATTCCTTTTTCTCCTTCACTATTTACTCCTTTTGCTTCAGGGAGAGTATCGAAAGCATTTCCTGTTTGTCGTTCTTCTATTTCCTCCTGAACAGTTGGTGAATCCTGTTGCAGTAATTCCATTTTCTCTTCACTTGGAATCTGGTCTTTGCTTTCTTTTGGATCTCCTTGTACTGTGTTTTCCTTGTATGGACATGTGATTGAGTCTTCTAGAACTTGCACATCCTGGGTATCTGTCTTTTCATGGAAAGTGTTTGATTCACTATTCTCCTCTATTGCTTTAGATGCCGAACTGATTGTGTTAGGAAGTTTCTCTTCTACTGACATTTTTGTGACAGACAATTCTGCCTGATCCTGATTGAGATTGTCAGAAATGTCCCGAGTTATTTTTCCTTTACTGTCATCCAAATTTGTTTGAGCTAGATTCTTTATACAGCTCGAATCTTGGCCCTTTTCCTGCTTGGCTTGGCAGAGAATTTCAAAATTAGTAAAATTAGTTATCATAATGAGAAGCAGAGACAAGTGTATCTGGTTGTCAGAAAGAAAAAATAGATCTGTGTACATTATTTTGAACTCACCTCGTGAATTACTACATCGACCGTACACATTTTTGGGTTGCCGGCTTCCTCTTCTTCCTCTTTGTCATCTTGCAGTTTTTCTTCTCCATCTTGAATAAGTTCAGTTTTTTCTACATGCAGTTCTTCTCTGTTGATTGTCAGCTCTTTCTGTTTAGTAGAATGTTCTTCTGCATGTGAGGTTTCCATGGAACAAATCTGAAGAATGTCAGGTTGTGAACCTTTAGCTATCTCTATTGATGTGGACTCCTTTCTTGATTCTATTGTTTCACCAACAATTATTTTCTCTTGTAAGCAGTTTGCTTCCTCTAGCTCACCTTCCACAGATTTCATATTTTTTACATCAGTCAAGAATTTTTCTGATGTATCTTCCTGTTGCAGCTGCTGAATATTCTTGTTGCTGGTTGAATTATCAGTAAATTCACTCTCCTTAAATTCTGCTTCTTCTTCCATGTTCTCATCTGATGCCGGTAGAGTGGCTGCCACAAATTTCCCCATTACTCCAGTGTCTTCAGAACCATCTGTGCTTGCAACAAACCATATAGCATCCTTTTGTGTTATTTCCATGGGCGAGTATTTGGTGTGTGCTAAAGTGTGAAGGTCATCCTGTTGTTTTTCAGTTCCTTTATCTTCGCCCATCTGCACTGTATCTTTTCTAGATTCCTGAGGAGGGTTGGATGGTGATATTTCATCTAGTTCCACGAAGCTGGAACTGTCTGTTACCTCTTTGCAATTGTCGGTAGTTCTCTTTGCTCCTTCAAAATTAACTCCTTTTTCTTCTGAAATGGCGTCAGAAGCATTTCTTGGTTGTTTTTCTTCTATTTCCTCCAGAACAGTTATTGGGTCCTGTTGTATTGATTCCAATCTTTCGCCATATGGAACCTGATGTTCTGGGCTTTCTTTTAGATCTACTTGTACTAGGTTCTCTTTCGATGAAATTGTGATGGAGTCATCTAGCACTTGCACATCCTCAGTATCAGTCTTGTCATGGAAGCTACTTGGTTCATGATCAATTGTGTAATCACTATTCTCCTCTGTTGCTCCAGATGCCAAGCTGGTCATATTTGCAAGTTTCTCATCTTCTGGCATTTTTGTGACAGGTGATTCTTCTTGCTCCTGATTGAGATCTTCAGCAATGTCGAGAGTAATTTTTCCTTTTGAGATAGCCTCAGAAGCATTTCGTGGTTGTTCTTCAATTTCATCCAGAACAGTTATTCTGTCCTGTTGCATTGTTTCCACTTTTTCTCCACATGGAACTGGGAGATCTGTGCTTTCTTCTGGATCTACTTGTACAAGATTCTCCTTTGATGAAATTGTGATGGCATTATCTATCACATGCACATCCTCAGTGTCAGTCTTGTCATAGAAACAACTTGGCTCGTGAACAATTTTATAATCAGTATTCTCCTCTGTTGCTACAGATGCCAAGCTGGTCGTATTTGCAAGTTTCTCATCTTCTGGCACTTCCGTGACAGATGATTCTTCTTGCTCCTGACTGAGAACTTCAGCATTGTTTAGAGAAATTTTTTTTTTACCATCATCTGAAAGAATTTCACCTAGATTCTTTATGGAGCTTGAATGTAAGACCTTTTCCTGTTTCATTGAATATTTGCAAATTAACTATAATGAAGAGGAACAGACAAGTGCTTCTGGCTGTCTGAAGCACAAAAGGTATGCTAAATTTCAGTTTTGACTCACCTCATGCATCTCTACATTGGACGCAGCTATCATTTGAACATCCTCAGAACAACCTTCTTCCTCAATTTGCTCTTTAATTTTCCCTCCGCTATCAGCATTCTCATTCTCTCGCTGCACCTGTAGAATTTTCAGAAGATAAATATTGTTGTATGATAATGCTTAGGAATAATTTAGTTTGATGATGAAAGCCAGGGCTTGAATTTTGACTGACCTCTTCAGACAAACTGCCATCCGTTATTATCTGGTTACAATTTGGTGCTCTATCATTTGGACCATCAGCCCCTAATTGGATTCCCTTTTCACGACTTGCTTCTCTTTGGCGGCTTTCAAAATCTTGCTGGCTTACTTTTTCTTCTTGTTCAATGGTGTTGTCACTTTCATGATCTTTCTCAACTCCCTGAAGCATGCAGTGGCGGATCCAGGAAAAAATTCAACACGGGCTAATATGTATAAAAAAAAAATATTGCACATAAAAAAAAAAAAAAAATTTACTTAATTTTTTTTTTTTTTTAATGGACATTTGGGTTGCAGCACGGCCCAGCCCGTCCCTAGATCCACCTATGGAAGCATGACAATTAATTGGTTTTCAAAATGCAGAAACTGGGGAGGTGGTAAAATCAAGCCCCCGTTTGATAGCAATTTTTTACCCCAAAAATCAAATTTTTAACAGTTATATCACTATTTCAGCTATCATTTTTTTACTTCTTCACTCACAAGTGAGACCTATTCTTCTATCTAATGGTCAAAAAATCAATTCTCATAATCACTACCGAACAGACCCTAAGTACATAAATGCATGTAGGTTTTCTACCTGTATCGAGTCAATTTGCTGCTTTCCATCCGTTTCGTGTTCGTGTTCCCTTCCATTATCATCTTTCTGCACTTTACCATCCAAACAGCGTTGGGATATTAGTATTTCTCCAATCGACTCATTCTTCTCTTCTGTAGCCTTGATGCCATCATCTACCACTGCAGTGATAGTATTTTCATGGTTGCTTTTGTTACCTTGGAGCTCAATCACTGGTTCCGAGGTAGAAGGGGGTTCTTTGGTAGGCTCAACTGATTCTAGATCCTGCATCACGGGGATAAAAAAATTTCATTGTTATAGGTTCATTTTGAGTTTCAATGTCAATTTGATTTATCATCCGTAAGCTGCTGGGGGTACGTGCATGTTTATTAAAGCTTAAATTTTAATTAAAGTTTGTCAAATATACTTTTTATCTACACGTTTTGTAGAATCCATGGCTTATTGTCCACACATCCCATACGATCCACAATATATAAGCACTTAATTAAGTTATGCTAATCATGCACATTTAACGAAGTCATAGAAAAGGTGCAAGTATTTGATATAGAATTGGACTGTCATCAAACGTCTATCAACGGTACATTGATTATTTAGTGAAAATGAACATCATGAATCTGTAATTACAATTAAACAATCCCCCTTTCAATTGTCAAATTAATGTCTTCTCAAATGAAATGAGATTTATATAACAGTTGATCTCTGTTGGTTATTATGGGTTAAGAATAACACATAACTATGTGAATTTGGTTAAATATGCAATAGCAACACTTTTCCAGATTCATGCACAAGAGAATTCCTGATAGGCATGGATATGAGGCAACTTTAATTTGGTGCTAAATTAAGAGCATGTTTGGCTGACCTTAAAAAGTTCACTTATAAGTAAATTTGCGTAATGGAAACGAGACTTAAATAAATACCTTTTTATTGGTTAAATTTTATATAAATTATGTATTTTGAGAGCAAGAAAAAAATAATATTAAAAATAAGTAATTTTTTTCACTTGAAAGTAGGGAAAAAAAAAAAGTATGATCCAAATATTTCAAAATAATTACCTTTTCTGAAAAGCTTAGATAAACATGATCTAAATAACCCTCACAGTGATGCCTTATCCCATATCTAGTGTATGTTTCTTTGGTACTTGAACACATTGTGTAAAAGTATTCTTCTATGACTGATATGTTTCGTAATCAATTTATTGCTATAACTTGAATATAGATGCAATCAGATGGTTATGCTCGTTACCTTTTCTATCATGCTGTTCATACTGTTGATGTCCAAATATTCCATTCTGTTTTCATGCTGTGTCTTTGATTCCAACTCTGGTTTCTGAGTGTCAACAGTTTCCTTTAAGAAGTTATCAGAATTTCTGGCAGTGTCTTCTTGTCCTACATCATCCTTTGCTGTGTCTATATTTTCAGTGGTCTTTTCAGCTGATAAAGAATTTGGGATGATACTTGAGCTCTCAATGTTTTCAGAAGTGTCTTCTTTTGACTCATTGCCTGAGACTGGAAAAAAGTTTTGTTCTTCATATGAAGTATTGTACGACTCTCCAAGGCTCAGTTCCAATGTGTTTTGTGAAACATCACCACCAGCAGCGACCTGATCGTTACATTTTGATAATGCAGCCTGAGTTTCATTCTGCACTTCATTTCCCTCTGTCATGAAAAGATTCACATCTCTGTTTTCGCCCAAGTTAGAGATGCTGTCATATTCAGATTTGATATCTATGCCTTCTGCATCTTTCTTTTCTGGTTTACTAGTTGGCATTCCCAGTTTTTTGGAAGCCAGATCATTTTCATCAAGCTGTAATTTGTCTTGTAATTTAACTTCTTCTAAGTTGGGATCTTCTGTTCCTTCTGTGACTGCCAACTCTGAGGTAACTATGATGTCATCTCTACTTCCCTCAGATATCTCAGAAACAGAGGGCAAGTTCTTGGCTGAATCTAGGCAGTCTTTTGACCACATCTCTTGTTCCTCTGATTGAATTGATCTCTGAATGATACAGTTGGTACTTGATTCTTCCTCATGCTCCAGGGTTTCAGCTTTACTGTCCTCTGAGAAATGTGTGCCTTTAAAATTCTCTCCTGTGCCTTCATTCTCTGCATTTTTTATCTGTTAAATGCGAAAATGAAGTTGACAATTAGAACTTGGAGGTCAGAGTTAAAAATTTAGACCAAATAAAAACTTTATTGCTTCTGACCTCTTGTTCTGATATAATCACATTCCTTTCATCTTCGTTCAGGTTTTCATCTACTTTATTTTCTGTGATTACTGAAGTTGGATTATCTACATTGAGTCCTTCCCTCGTGCTCAGTTCTGCTTCCACGATTTCTTTCCTTTCCTATATAAGTTGAGAGGCAAAAGTAAACAAGCAGACATGGAAAGCATCATGCCATGTACTGGAATGAATGATAAGCAACTTCAAGTTCACCTCGTCTTCCTCTTTAGCACTGTTTTCTTCTAGTGTTTCTGTGCAGTTGTCCTTGAATTCACCAGTTTCCATCATTATCTGCTTGTCCGTATCCTGGCTTTGAAGTCTTCGCTCGAGTATCTTTTGACAAAAAGCGTCCATCCATGGAGATAAAGTCAGTGGTAAGTCATTTTACTTCTGCATTTGTTTTAATCAAGTTTGTAAAGTGGAATGAAGTAATGATCTATTGGTGTATACTTTTACCTTTAAACGTTCCTACGCATTTGACATATTATTTTCATATATTCCTGATGAGTCAGTGCATGGTGGGAGGATTGGTTGCTACTTTTAGGAAAAGGAGGTGTGTGCTATACACAACCTGTATTTTGATTTCGTGATTTCGCTGTGAGCGTGTTCTTCTACATCTATGCTTATATTGACTTGACTGGTGAGTATATAACTTTTGACCTAGGACCACTATGAAATTTAAATATTGACAATGCCATCTCTCAGAACAACTAGCCCTCCTCGGTTTAGTTTTTCTTAGACTCACAGCAATTCCTTGGCATTCCTTTTCTTACTTGTGTATTCATCTTTTCGTGTAACTAAGAAGATTACTTTTTTTTAGGCTCTATTTTTGTTGTGGGGTTGGGGGAGATTAGAAGACTTGTTCATATTTACTGCAGTTGAAATATATTTATTTGCATTTAATTCAGAAGAAATGTATGATACAAATTATAATACGATACTTTTTTCTATTTAACTCAAACTCACCTCTGTATCAGGTTCCTTTATTTCATTTTTCTTTTCACATGAAACCCCAGTTTCTGTTTTTTCATCTGTTGAAACAGTTAAGTTGTCCTTTGCTCCAGAATCAGTGTTTATGATCTTCATTGAATTATCCATGTATACATCTTGCACTTGATAGCTGTCCTCCATCTGTGTGAGGAATGGGTTCTTGCTTCAGAAAGTTGCCCATAGATCTTTTTTCTTTAAAAGCTTGAAATCCAAACTTAATAATCATAAAAGTTGAGAAGATAGTCTAGTGCTTAACCTCTTGACTGAGGATATCAATTATATTCTTGTCTCCTTCAAGGCTTTCTGCGACTTCTTCTTCCAGATTGGGTGCTACAGGAACATGCTGATTCCTGTTCTCGTTAAATAGGATAATCTTTTCGATGTTCTCACTGGAATGAGTAACCTCAAGTTCTGTTTTCTGTTTAAAAGAGAACTGTGTTACTATAGGGTAGAAGAAGGATCAGAAGTTGCATTCATGTACAAGCATATTATCTCCTCAAGAGAAGCTAATTTAATTTGACTTTCGAGCAGCTCTATTTCTACCTCTTCGCAAATCTTAATCGTTTCATCAGCTGTAGCTTCTGATTGAATGGTAGTATCCTGCTTCTTGTCCATCTTCTGTGTTTCAGTATCATGAGGCTTACTGGTAACCTGACAATAATCATTCACCTACATGAACAGTACATTGCAAATTGACTTGTAAGAAATTGAAACTTGGAAAAGATTCGGAAGCATTTAGGTAACCACATACGGTGTTTAAACGAAAGATTCTGATATAAACTTATTATATAGAGATTCCCAAACCCTATTATAAGTTATTACTGTTATTGTTTGACCAACAATGTCATTTACCTGACTTTCTGTTTCTTTGCTCTCGTCTTCTCTTACTTCAATCAATGCCCCAGAATGATCTTGATCTTCTAGAGTGTTAATCTGGTCGCCTTCTTCTTTACTGCTTATATTGCTGTTGGTGACAGGATCATGGTGTGCATCTATTGGTGGAAAATCATTTTCACTTCCTTCTGGTGGATGAGTAACATTTAAGTCAGTGGTACTACAGTATGGAATGGAATCACCAGCCTCCTCATTTGGATCTATTGTTGAAACATCCTGCAGAAAGAAAACATCATTCACTATCTCAAGTGACTTCCAAAGAAGAAAGATTGATATATATATTTTTTTTCATATAGATAATAGCTGTCATTTTTCAAGTTTAAATAGCTAGAGATCGCAAACATCATTTATTAATACATTTTCATCTATTTCTGAAGAGTTTTCACCTTCATGTTCGCCGCATCAATTGTATTATCCTTTGTTTCATCACTGAGGATTTCTTCAGGATTTACGTGAATCTGTTCCAGTGAAGGGTTTATTGTTTTTGCATTTTGACATGAAGCAGATGTTCTACTCTCCTCAGGAGCTACATGCAAGGATTCTACAGGTTTCTCATACGGCAAATAATTTTCTGAAGATCTCTCATCTTCCGATATATCACCCTTCTTTAAGTCACCAGCTCCAATGCCTTCATGATTAGTGTCCCATGACGGATCTTCTGTTGAAGACAGTTTCCCGCTTTCGTTTAGTAAACATTCATCATGTTTTATCTGTGGCTCATCAACTTGTTTCATTGAAATTTCTTCTGTCTTCTGTGTAGCTGTTTGAATGCTACGATCTCCAACTTCTTCCAAATTTGTAGATTGGTTTTCTACTTCCCCTGCACTTAGGTTTGGAATACTTTCCAATACTATTTCAGATACTTCCTGTACTGTTGCAGTCTTGTCGCCTTCCTGGATGACCACGTCTTCTGCATCTTTAAGGAAAGAACTTTCTGAGTTGTTCTGGTCCTGAAGTTGACATTCATCTTTGGTTACATCTATCGTGTCTTCCCTTAATGTAATTGTTTCTTGACTTCCTTTCTCAAGCGCAACATCAAAATTGTCTGCCAATTTCCTATCCTTGCCTGATCCAAACTTTCCTGCACCAGTTTCTCCAATATTCGTGTCTTTCAATTTCTTAGTGTCTACTCTCGCTTCTTTTGTATCAGGGGCGTGAGTTGAATATTCTACTTTCTGTTCTGAGGTAGTATCTGCTGATTCTACTGTAGAATCTACTGGTATCACTCCTCTATTCGCAACTTTGTCCAAGCTACTTGATAATTTTTCAACACTCCGTTGTATTTCTTCTGAAGTCTCTTTAGTTACAATAATTTCTACCGGTCGATTATCTAATTTTTCATATTCGAGGGAGTGTATCTTCCAAGCATCTTGCTTTGTTTGATCTGGCTTTTCGATTACTTCATAGGCATCTGGCTTTGCTTCGACAGAAACCTTGGCTATTGAGGATAAATTGAAAAAATTCTCACCCTCACCTGCTTCTGCACTGCCTTCGTTAGTGTTCTTTACACTTTCTACCTCAAAATTACTTTTTATGGCTTCATGAGGTTCATAAGGGGTATCCTCAGCATCCATCCTTTCCTCTTTCAAAATTTTATCAAATTCTATGTTGGTAGTTTCTTTTATCAACTGTCCATCTTCTGCTTCTATCTGCGTGAGAATTCAATGCAAATACTATTTTAGACATGAAGATAAAATAATGGAATCTTAAAATTTAGCGAGAAAGAGTAGCTCTAATAAGTTCAAACATAGATTTCCCTCCTGCAAAGGGAAAAAAGAATGAAGTGAGATTTTGGTTGTCAAAAAGTCTTCTTACAGTATATCTCCCAGTCTTGTCATTTGAATTTCTAATGATTCATCGACAGACAACTTCAATATGGCCCTATGGTGGTGATTAAGACTTCAAGACTGAATATTTAGAGAACACTATAATGTCTCGCCAAGGAGGAAAAAAGCAAGAAAGATATTCACATTGAGGAAGCTGGTAGCTTCATACTGTGATCTAAGAAAGTCCTGTGTTTATGGAAAAAGGTGCGGTCTATACATAGTGGATCGTGAAATAATGTCGTTTAACATTACGTAGATGTTTTCGTATAATTTTTTCTTCTCCATAACAGTTAGTAAATGATACCTTATTCAGAAAATAACAGAAGAAATCAACATCCATTAGAGGCTGATTAAAATTCCGAACAGAATACCGTGATCCAAGGTTATTTAATTGTCTTTCCATTTCTTTTATACTGCTTCCTTCATTTCTACATATTTTCTAAAGCCGACTGTTGTTATGTATTGTGAAAATCAGAAAGTTCCAAAACATGCTCCCCTATTTCATGATTGATCATTACTTAAATAAGTTAAAACTGATTGAGATTATTTACTCTTCATGGAAGGATGTCTATTTACTCCTGATTTTGCAGGTAAAACAACTGGACCAAAACAGGACTTGATCAGGTAACGAATTCACATTCGTAGATACCTTATGTGGCTTCTTTAATTGAATCAGAACAAAATGCTTGAAACGTGAAGTAGTCTAATTCGAAAACTTTGATTGCACATAACATGAGCCGAACATATGGATTATATGCATAAACGAAAACCTTGTATGCTTTATGATTGAAGTTCTAGTCTGATGAATCCACCTATGTACTAGAATTGAAATATAGTTACGGGGATGCAAGATGGCACAATTTTCCCCTTGAATCATAAGCTTTGAGTGCTTGTTCAGGATACCATGCATATTGCATAGTAATATCTATATAGCTAATTTGAACAATCATCAAGATTCAAAAGATTGTAATATCTCTACTTTATAGATCGCGAAGCAAAGATCAAAAAGGTGATATAGCTTACTGTTTCATTTACAGCTTGTGGAATATCAGCAGCTTCCGACTCCATTTCTGATGGAGCAGTCGAAAGGAATGCTGAATAATGGTCTTCTTGAACTATTTACACATCTGAATTTTGGTGGTAAGTATTCTTTCATAAATGCAAAGTAGCCTCAAAACTTTCTTTAAGGTATAAATAAGTAGAGGGGGTGTTATAAGGTTTGTTTGGTAGAATTTCTGCTTCTTGTAGAAGAACTTTCAAAAAAAGATTCAAACATGTTCACAAATTGCGTTTTAGGTTTAAAAGTAACTTTTGACTTTTCAAAAGTATATGTTAGATATGTGTATTAATCTCTTGATTGGTACGGTGCTGAAGTTGGTAAAAGCTGACAAAATGCCACTTCATATTTGGATCACTTTTGAGTTGGCTAGAGATTCAAAATGACCCTACTGAATTATCATATCAGAATTTCTGCTTCTTGTAGAAGAACTTTCAAAAAAAGATTCAAACATGTTCACAAATTGCGTTTTAGGTTTAAAAGTAACTTTCGACTTTTCAAAAGTATATGTTAGATATGTGTATTAATCTCTTGATTGGTACGGTGCTGAAGTTGTTAAAAGCTGACAAAATGCCACTTCATATTTGGATCACTTTTGAGTTGGCTAGAGATTCAAAATGACCCTACTGAATTATCATATCACATGTTCAAGTTGTTCTTAATCAAGTAAAGTTGGTGACATGGATCAATAATTCCGTTAACAGTTTAATGCTGCTGCAAACTAGAACAAAATGCCAGATTTTTGGGTGTTTTTGATCATTATTTTCGAAATAGTTGCTCAATAGTTGGTCAAAGTTGCTATAGTCTTTGGGTTAATAAAAAATTCTCAAGAATTAACTGTTTTGAGCTCAGGCGCAAAATAGTTAGGGCTAGTTTGGCAATGCTGTTTTTTCTGTTTTTTTTTTTTTTTTTTTATCAACGATCTTCTTGATAAAGCTATCTTAGACTAATTTCCTTTGAAAACTCTTCAATCAAGACAAAATATTTCCAGAAAATTATCCGAACATGTTTTGAATAAATTTTGATTTTTCACTAACCTTGAAGATTTGAGGACATGCAGGTGTGTCGTGCTAGTTAAAAATGGACAATATTGAGGATAAGCTTCTAAAATTTAAGCAATTTATGCCAAAATACAAGTAATTAAGAGTTAATGTCTGTGGTCCTAAATCTGTAACTCAATTGTTTTTCAAATGAGCTTTGACTGGTTAGTTTCATGAAAGCCAAATATTATATTCTTCCACAACTATGATTATGATACTAGCAACACTTTTTTGTGTGCTAATAACAACCGTGCGGTGTAAGAGAATCTTGCTTAACATGAAAGGAATTCAAGTGCAATGTGGGGATGGGAGGCTATTCTACTTTTTTAAGATAATTTTTAACAAATAAACATTACTTGCAATATTAATAATGCGAGACATTTTCCCGGTAAATAAAAAAAAAATATGTATTATACCATGGTTGTTTAGTGCCAGTCAAGGACCTCAAGGTGGTCCATGTCTTGTAAGTAGACTTCTTGTGATATACTCCATCTATTCATTTCGAGCTGTGCTACAATGACAAAGGGGGTTTACAAAGTTAAATTACAAAATAAAATTTACACCAATTATTTCAAAAACATATTTTTTAATCATTTGAAACCAAGGGTCCAGATTTTCCCAACAAATTTTGGCACTCCATTTTTGTACACCAACTTTGTAAGAGTAGAATTATTCATTTCCGTATATATAGGTTGATTTTGTTTTTCTTACAGATTAAGAAATCTTATTAATGTCATTTAAAAAGTATTTTTTGTTAAAAAAAACTTTCCTAGTTTACCTTTATTTATATTTGTACAATTTCAAAATTAAGTGGGATGAATTGGTTATAATTAGGCAAATTAAATAAGGGTACATTAATAAACGAGTAAAACAAAACATTTTCAATAAAGAAACATGATTATATAATTGGGACAAAAAATAAGGAAAGTCGGCTTGTATAAATGAGAACGAGGGAGTAACATTTTTCTTTAAAAACTCGATTGTTTTTTTCATAATTGTTCGATGTGGTTATGAATTTAACTTGTTATTTGATGTTATTACATTGGATCGACACGTAGATTAATAAATTTTGATAAATGCAAGTTTTGGTGTGCAAACGTGCGTTTTACGTGTCTTTGTTAATTAAATGCATTAAAAGCTATTCAAATTACGATTGTGATAATGATAAAATCCATCCTTATGTCATGCCAGCATGGCGTGTATTTAATTGAAAATTAAAGATGCAGATGTTGATGGAGAAATGGTATAGTTCACTTGTTCAATTCCTATTTTTCTTCTCATCTATCTATTAGGAAATTAGATCTCGAGGAATTAGTGGTCTAACCAAATAGACAACTTTTCTCTCGAGAAAACAAATTGTTTTTATCGTTTAAAGGGTAGGGTATTTTTTAGACTACTCGATTCGAACTAGTCAGTTCAATATCCGTTCTAGTTAAAATCAATGGTGTTTTGTATTTTAGATTCAAGAACTTGAAGGTTCCTTCGATTCTAACTTTGGACAAAGAGAAACTAAAGGGTGCCCCGTCCTACCTTTCCAGAGTCTATAGAACGCTAAGGAAACAAAATTTGAATTTTTTTTGAAGCAAAAGGAATCGGACTGGAACAAATACAAATCCTTTTATTCTCCAAGAAAAAATAATATTCTTTTTACAATTTCCGTTGAGAATTGGTTCAATTTAGTTCTCTAGATATTTGGATCCCACTATTCGATAGTCACTTCAACTTTAAAGAAGAGAGATAAAAGGGTTATGATTGTTGTACATAATTTAGGTACATAGGGGTGAGATTCGCGCAAGGGTGAGCCCCACCCCATGTGAGAGGTGTGGACACTTTTATGTATATAATTTATGTACATCAAAACTTATCCAAGAAAAAGGGGGGGGGGGGTCACCGAGATGGGCCGCCACTAACATTGACGGAGAGATGTGGCAATTTTGTCGAGGTGAGTAATAATCTTTAGAACTTAAGGGAGTTCATCTATATTTTAGATAGATTTCAGGGAGGGAAATGTAATTAAGTTGATTATGGGAGGTTGGAGCCAAAGAAAAAGGGGGTGGTGCGGGGGGGTTGGGGGGGTTCTAATTAAACATCAATCTAAATCAGACCGACAAAAATTCCTCAGCCGCCCCCAATGTGGATAAGTTCTGGTGACCAAATGTCATTTTATTTTTTAAATGTTACTTTTGAAATTATGCATTGGGCGATTTATTGTCAATAAAATTACGTTATATGTGAGACAAATATCTGAGTCAATAATGCAATAATGCGATTACTAACTTTTCCATGTTGATCTAAATCCACTTAATTTAATTTTTGACAGCAAAAAGTCACGTGGAAAATAATTACTTATTCTGTCATTAATATTTGATTGAGCAATAATTATTATGACTAATTAATTAATTAGCATATTAAGTATTTTAAAATCGCAAGCATTATTGATAATTGTGTAAGTGGAAGTCACATTCGATGGGTGTTATCGGAATTGACTCTTTATTGCCTAAATCAGCAGTCATTGTCCTGAATTTGCAAGGTAGGCTTTCGGTTGGGACCAATTCTATATTATTATAAGTCTCTCATTTAGCTTACGAAATATGGATAACTAAATCAATAACAAGTTCAGTTCACGATATTTATTTGAGAACGAAAAGGAAAACAAGTTGAGTCGTTCAATAATTCGAACAAGTGACAGCTCCTCACCCCTTTTAGAAATGTCAATTGATAGAGTTTGAGACGTAACGACTCAAGATTTATTTATCCTTTTTATTTTTATTTTTTTATGTCTACAAAGACTACAACGTATGTGTATACTTTTCGAAGCATGCCAGTGAGAAGTTTTGGCCCAGAATGAACTTTACGTTTTTTCTTGCATCTTACTACAACTATTCTTGATTTTATTTTTATATCAGCCTTGCATCAATTATCTCAACATTCGTACAAAAATAATCTGATAAAACTCGACTCTACAAGAATGAGTGTAGAAAATGTATCGAGTCGACATTCAAACATCACAGTACGATTGTGTATTACAAACTCTTGCAGTGAAATTAATATAACTTGGATACATAAACGAGATGACTCGCCATACGAACTATGCTGAAATTGGTTCTTTTACATTCCAATCAAAAGAGAAGGTGAATCATTTTTATGGTAGAGATTTAAAATCCACGAGTAAGAAAAAAGATGGTATGATAATATGGGGTTCCCAGTTTCTATTTTCAAATGAATAATTATTTATGAGAAATGCACTATCATCCGAAATGTGGAAAGCCCAAGTGAAAGAGAGGGGCCAATTGAGAAGTGGGCCATATTATTTTAAGGATTTTAGTCCAATAATTAGATGCTTATTTCCAATTTGTTTATCATTATTACCAAAAAAATAATAATAATAATAAAATAAAAATCTCAAACTTAAACTCTTTTTTAGTTTGAATAAATAACGGGAAATCACTACGGCTCATAAGAAAGCATTTACTGATCAGAAAGTTATAAAACTTATCATACCAAGCGCGTGATGCCTGTTTAAGACCATACAATACATAACCAGGCAGTGAGGGATCTTCATTCCCAGGCGGTGAGGAATCTTAAGGGGAGGGGTTGGTAGTGAAGGGAAGTCCAGGGTTGTGTTTGATCTATCATTTTTAATTGTATATTCTCACAATAAAATATTTACACGTAAATTTAAATATTTTTTACTTTTTAACTACACATTTTTTAAAAATTCACTGTTCCAAAATTCATTTTTCGATAGTAACGTTAGACAAAGGGCTAAATATTACGAGGAGCATTTTCATGTTTTGGTTTATAATTGGGTGTGTGATGTGAGCATGGCAGCCACCCATTGGACCCACCACTTCGTGTTTGGCATCATCTTCTGGCTTGTCTAATTTGTCGTCATCATCAGACATTGCACGAAGACCTCTCAAATGTGTGTACTTTTCTTTCAGCATACTTATATGCACACCCAAAAAAAAAATTACAAATATAGTTCATTTTTATAATATAAAAAAAATGTATAATATAAATATTTAAACATTGAAATTCTATAATTTTATAAAA